TGACATGGATGCTTCCTTGATCTGCTCTCGAATCTGTGGTATTTTATCCCTCATCGATTGGGCAAATCGATAATGAGAAACACGAGGTAAGTAATTAGTTTCCAATTGTTCCAGAGTTTTTAATGCCGGATAGTAACGAGTCGCCTCCATTTGAGAAGTTAATTTACTGAACATTTTCAACACTGGTAAACATTGACTCAAATGATCGATCGCTGTTTCTATGTTACAAACTATTTTCGATATCGAATCAGCTCTTCGGCTTTTCTTTGGACATTTTCAGATGATTTTTGAATATCTTGATTAATCTCAAGAATCTCTTTCTTAAGTATTTCGGCTTTGGGTCTAACTTGAAGAAGATCATGAATACAATCAACAAAATCCTGATAATTGGCATTACACATTCTCTTGATATCTTCATCGTGGCTTTTGATTCTAGCATCAAGTTTCTCCATAAATTTGTCGTATTCAGCACCAACAGCTCGATTACTGTATATAAATGAAAGAAGATCAAGAAAATTAGAAACAGAATAACAATAATACAAGTAATAGTGATTAAGAAAATGATTTAACATCAGAGAGATTAAGAATTTACCTGAAGACAAGACTAAGTGATGATGGATCATTTGATTCCAATTCAATGAGTAAATGATCACAGCCATTTAATTTTGAGAAAAGAGGATCAACAACAGGTGGATCTTTGGATGAATTCATGGTTAATTAAGTGATTAACACTAAATTGTTCCCATCAAACAATCAATAAGAAAATATTTACCAAGAGAAAAGTGAATCAACATTGAAAAAGATACATAAGAGAATTTAGATTAAACTGAATCGGATAGCTAAACAAAATCCGAATCAATGATAAATCAATTGACATTAAGTGACATTAATCAAGAACAAAACAAAAATACAAAACAAATCACATTGTCAAACAATTAACTTTCATTCAGCTGATCACAATTTCCAGTAACCAGGTAACCAGTTTCCCTATAAAACAGTTGTCAGGTAATTGTGCAGGCGAATAGCGGAAAAGTTAAATCAACTCGAATTCTCTGCAAAAAAAATACAATTAAATTTTATATTTGTATATTTTTAATCAACAATTAGTAAATCATAATCATCATAAAGTCGAAGAAAAATTTTCTCAAATTTTCTTTCAACTCGAAAATGATACAAGAAAAGAAAAAGTGTTTTACCATCTTTCTTATTTTCCACTAATTAATTGAGTTTAAATTGTAATTAGATGATATCTGAGATATTGGTAAGTATTATCGTACTTAATTAAATTGGTAAAATTAATCGATTGTTGGTCAATTAAATCTAATTAAATTGTAATCACTAAAAGTGTTGATCAACTTTTTAAACTTTCACCTCAATGAGTTTCCAAAAATCTACCGATCGTGTCGCTTGTGTTGATTTTTTTTTCATTGTTTTGATTAAAATGTTTTTTAAATTGTTTTTGTAAACAAATGTTTCCATTGTCATTATTGGTCTTAATTAGTTTAATTTAGTTAAATGATTTGATCAAAGGTAAGTTGTTACAATCACTAAATCTACTATATTGTCATATTAATGAATTTGTTTTCGTTTTATGCTTTTCTCCTTTGTGTCCACTGAATTGTCCGTTTAGGTTGAGAAAATAGTAAAATGGATAATCAGACAGAATCTAATTGTGATCAGATTCAGAATCAATTATCTGATTCTGATAATTTTTCACTTGGTAAAGTGAAAAATGAAACCAAGATGAAACAATGGATAACAATGTTTTTGGTAATTATCATCTGAAGTGGTATTTTTGTTTTCTTTTTCTCTTTGTAACATTTAGATTTTGTCACTTTGTTTCAATTTACTAAACATTGAAAATTGTTTACTTTTTATTTCTCTTAATAGAAACATCAATTGCATTACCAGTCAGCCTACCTGTGATTAATGACCAATCTCTTAGTCTATTAAATGAAGAAGTGACTGAAGATCAACTTGCAGCGTTTTTAGGTGATTATTTTGCAAACAATCAAGAAACATTTTCCAGTGATAATACAACGACGACGACAACATCTTTGGTTAAACAGGAAAAAGAAACGAATTCCAACAATCTTAATTTTTTTGATAATTCTAAATCAAATGAGGATAAGATGGATCAACAACCAGAGGCGATAATCAATTCTGAACAGTCTCATAATCAAGGGTTGAACAATTATCCAAATCAAAGTCCCTCGAATGTTTTTCAATCCTCTGAAATCAGAATGGCCACTTATACACCTTCGATCAATAGGCCTTCATTTCAAGGTCCCTCACCACAATCATTATCTCTTGTTAGTAGTATGAATGGTAATTTCGTAATGCCCAGTTCAAGTGTTCCTCAGCAATCATATATGGGTGGAAATATCTCCCAATCTCCTGGATATCAATGGGATCTTGGTAGCTCAACGCGAGTCCCGCCAGTATTTTCTAAATCAAATTCTGATAATTATTTTGCTCGATTATTTGATCCATTTGGAAATGTTCTTAATCAACAGAACCGTCAGATGGGCCAAAACACCAATACAAATTCAAACAAATCAACTGGAGTAAAAAATGGCGTAAGAATCAGTTAATATATTGTTAGGTTTACATTAATGAATTATCTTTACTAAATTTCTATCATTAATTTATATTGTCCAGTCATGATAGAATTGAGATTCTAATTTTCTGATAATTAATTCTAATGGATTTTTTTTTGTACAATTTACAGAGGATTCGAAGGTATTTCAATGATAATCATGCCTCTCACATGCGAAATACATTTAACAGGATCAACCAACAAACATCAGTCGATTTTGACTTAATGACAAAAGTTTTCAACGATCTCAAAGCACCGTACGAGCTTCCATTCACCAAAGAACAAGTTATCGAATGTTATGATTGGTTCGTGGGTGCAATACAATATAATTATGTTCCAGGAAGACGAAAACAATTACCTCGCGAAACAAATCAAAGTGCTTTGAGAGATGAATTAAGAATGATCGAAGCGGCGAAAAAAGCAGCTGACCCTTCGAAAGAAGTAATTTGCCTGGACTGAGTCGATAACTCGATATTCATTGACCTAATTTTTTGAAACCATCAACTTTGTAAATCGCCACAATAAAAGACTTCTCATTATTTTAATGAAATATTAGGTTCATACACAGTAGTTTACAATCACAGTTATTTTATTGATTAATAAGAAAACGAGTAAATTGAGTTTTGTTGTGTTTTAATCGCAAAAAAATCATTTGATCAACGATAGAGACATTTGAAAGTGAAATGCAACAAGTTTACTCTTTGCTTGTGTTGATTGTTATTCTTTTAATTGTTGATTAGATCAGATTGACTAATCTGAATCGTTGGAAAGTTAAATTGTCGTTTTGTTGGTGATTCGTCTTTGTGATTCACTTTCACTGTTGGATTTTTTTTTCTGATCATTGGTTTTCTTTTGCTGTTTTTTTGCTCGTTTTTTTTTTAATTATCGGTAATTTATACGAATTTAACTCCAACGTTAACTTTCATACAAGCTAATTCTTTATCCTCATGGTTAATCTTCATGCTCATGGAATAATCTCCCTGTTAATGAGTAGGAAAAATTTGGATTATTTTATGTTGGTAAAATATTCGATCGTTAATCATCACAATTAGAGTTAATGTGATTTATACCAATCAGCATTTCTGATTTTCAGATTTCTCTAAGTTGTTATTGATCAACATTTCTTTTTACTTACATTTCCAATGGCTAATAAGGCTGGAGGGAAGAGACCGAAGTTGAGTTGGTAATTAACATTGGCTACATAATCGCCGGGTTCCGATGGGCATTTGCACTCTTGATTAGCAGATTCAAGGATGGCACAAACGAGTTTCCGGTGAATCTTGAAAATCTCACACAAAGTCATTGTACAAGAACCGATTCCATTGAGACAGGGAACCCAAATCGGTAAATTTTGACCAAGAACTCTCAGGTTTTTGTTGATTTTTATGGTGACCACTGAGTCCCCTGAAATTGGTGTCGCTTGGGTGGCGTTAACTGAAATTCGGATGGGATCTTCTCTACCGATTCTGATTGGATTGTCAAGGTCGATTTTATGAACTTTTATTATTGCATCTCGACCACCACAGTCTTCCCATGATGGTATTTTTATCTTGGATTTGGCCTCAACTTGTACTGTAGAAATTAAGAAACAAACAAAAATAACGTAGAAAAACATTTTATTAGAATAAAATTTGTTACTTTTATCAAAAAGGCAAGAATAGAATTCAAATTACTTTTTGGCTTCGATTTGGTTTTATACAATTTTCTCAGTTGTTTCCATCATCAATTAAGAATATTATTCCATGTTGATTAGATCAATGGACTTGATTGTGTCAGTTAATTGAAACGCCTCTGAAAATCAGAATAAATAATCAAGATGAACTCAATTAACGAAGGATTGAAACATGAATTCGTCGATATATTTATCGACACCTTGACAATGAAATTCCAAATCAACCTCAACATGATCTTATGAATTGATTAAGATTCTCATGATATCAAAACTCTATTTAAATGGTGATCAGAAAACGGGAATAACCGATTGATTTTCCATTCGAATCTGATCTGATTTAATTTGTTAACAAAGTTAATTAATCGACATAATTGTCTTAATCAACCTTCTCCAAATCGACACTTGGACAGATTTTATTGATCTATTGTTAGAAACAATGAACAATTGATTACCATTGATAAATTAAAACAATTGACAGGATTTTCAGAAAATTCTGTTAACTACAATTAACTAGTGATTCTAAAAGTGGAACAAAAATTTTTAATCAAATTGAAATTCAACAATTAAAAATTATTAAACTGACTTCAACTCTGAACTTGACCAGTTGGACATGAGGATACTTACTGAATATTAAATACGATATTTTTAATCAAATGATTATAATGAAGCAGAAAATTCAATCAATCAAACAATTAACAATCAAACTTTACTTCCTTTTAAAATTAACAACGAATCAAATTATTTTTAATTCCAAATGATATCAGTTTAGTTTGAAAATGAATTTCTTTTCTCCAATAAATCAACTGATTGCAATAATTGTTATCTGTTTGATTAACTTTCCATTGATTGTTTTTTCACTTTCATGGTCTAATTGTGAATCAGATAATCCAATTCTTACCTTCAACTCGTTAACAATTGAAGGTGATCCCATTGTAATCGGTGATCCTGTTAAACCATTGAAAGTATCTTTAGATGTAAATCTAACAAAACCAATCGATGATCAGTTAATTGTTAAAATCTCAATTAGCAAAGTATTTACGATATTCGGTAAGCGATTAACTTTACCCAGTTTCCCCTGTATCAAAGGCTATGGTTCCTGTGAACGTAATCTATGTGATTTTTTGACCAGCGATGAAAATAGTTTCGGGTGTCCGTTAATTAGATCACTCGATCGACCCTGTTTGTGTCCCATTGATCCTGGCCAGTTAATTGTCAACGATTTCAATGGTCACATTGACTTGTCCAATGTTCCCAAGATGCTCCTTTGGTTGTCATCTGTAAGTTTATATTTTAATTGTTGAACTAAATCATCAATTTGAATCATTGATTGTATTCAAGATCTAATGTTTTTGTGCATCTAAATTGGTAATCATGTGATTATTAATTATCCGATTGAATTGTTATCCTCTGATTTTGATTCAATCATTGATAGATTTTTACATTTGTATTGTTGGTTGTTGATTAATTATTTCGTTTCTTGATTACTTGATAGGGTGATTATAATGTTAATATTGTGATTAATAGGGATGACCAGTCAGTGACCTGCCTTGATTTGGATTTGGATCTTGAGATGACCAATATTTCCCATGAGGAAGATTAATTGTTACAATTTAATTAACTGTTGAAACTGATTAATTGTCGCATGGAAACAAAAAGAAAAGGATAAATCAAATCAAATGATGGAAAACATAATTATCACAATTGAAATGATTAAATCAAATGAAGGAAAATGAATGAAAATATATAAACACAATTGTATCGTTGATTGTTACAATCAGTTAGTGATTAAATAATTATACAAAAACTCATCCCAACGATTTTCTTGTCAACATAATTTAAATGATAATTAAATGACTCAAAGATTGATTAAACTCAATTGTGATCATAAAACCAGGAATTAAACAACAATCACTTTAATCGCTACAACAATTAGTTAATTAGCGAAAATATCGCTGATTATGATTAGGCAAAACCTTAAACCGATAAATGTTTTCATTCTGATTGCTTATAAACAATAACAATTTAATGATAACCGTTAATTGTACAAAAAACACTCTCAAACAGTTGATAGTTAGTAAATTGTTCCAATCATTTCAACAGTAAGGAGATTGAAATTTGAAAATGTATTTAAAACTTGTAACTTTTTTCTTAATTGTCTCAATTGTTTCATCTGATCCAATTTCATACACTGAATGTGACATCGAAACCAACATCGGTAAATTGGACTCTCTTGTAGTCCCTGGTGATCCAATTGTCGTTGGTACCTCACATCCCGTTGATCTTTCCCTATCTGGAAGCATTGACTCTGCCGTTAACGACGATGTTGATCTGGTTCTTAAAATCGAGAAGCAAATCTCCGTTTTCGGGATCAAAAAGTGGATCTCAGTTCCTTGTATCGATGATTATGGTTCGTGTACACAGAAATTGATTGATTATGTTACTCGTTACAACGAAACTTTTGTCTGCAAATTACTGACCCAAATGGGCAAACCCTGTTCGATGCCCTTTTTACCTGGACAATATTCAGTATCTAATTTCATAATTCCAGTTAATTTATCCAAAATTCCCCAGGCAATTTTGTCTCTTGCAAATGTAAGTTAAACACTCAGATTTAATTCTTATTTACTTTACAATTTGAACTCTAATTTGTGTCTTCCGCTTCTCAACATTATCTTTAATTTCAGGGTAAAATCAAAGTTCATTTGGAAATCAAAATGATTCTGTTCTCTATTGTGTTGATGTAGTTATTGATCTTGATCTTGAATCAAATACTGATGATGGTAAACTAATTGTTGATGAAACTAATCATTCTGAAAATGATCAACAAGCTGACGATTTATCTTCACAATATGGTGGATGGGCTGATTTCAATCCTTCTGGAATGATTAGATAATTGTAAACTTTTTCGTTTTGTTCAATTTAAAACTTTACAAATGATTTGAACCAAATTAAAGTTAACAGATTCAACGATTAGACGAATACAATTCTGATACAATGATCAAAGTTCTCATACACTGTGATAAGATATAATGATAAGAAAAATGAATTTTCAACAAGAATCTATCATAAATCAATTCTAAATTAACGTTAATTGTTGAAAAAATTTTCTCTTTTGAATTAACCGCTTTTCTTTACTCAAGTGTTTGTTTACATTTGATTCAACAAATGTTGAGAAATAATTTTGTGCTTTTATTATTCTGTGTCTTTGATTTAAATTTAATTGTGGTTTCAATTTATAATTGAGTTAATTTGTCGACAAGATGGGAAGTAATGTAATCGCTCAGAAGAATATTAAAAAGGCTTTGGAAGAGGATCCCAGTATTTTTGAATATGATGAGATTTACGAAGACATAAAGAAGGACAATAAGCCGGTTGATGATTTAAAGAAAAACGAACCTAAGAAAGAATTGAAATCTAAGTATATTTCCAATTTACTTAAAACTGCTAATAAAAGAAAACAGGAATCTGAACAAAGATTTGATCGTAAAATTCAAGCTGAAAGGGAAGCGGAAGGTGAACAATTCGCGGACAAGGAAACGTTTATTTCTGCTTCTTACAAGCAAAAGTTGGAAGAGAAAAGTTGCCGAGGAAAAGCAAAGATGGAAGAAGCTTTGGAAGAAGCGATGGACGTGAAAAAACAGAAAGATCTCAGTGGATTTTATACATATTTTCTAAATAATACTCTTACCAATGAAGCGAAAAAGAAACAAGATGAGAAAATTGAAGAAGAGAAAAAAGCAAAAATCAAGAGAAAACAGAGCTACCGGCCTCGAGAGGCTCGACAAAATTCAATGGAAGATGATGATTCTACTATTACATGTAAAAAACTACGAGAAGATAAACAAAAAAACAACGAAGAAGAAAAAGGAAAAGAAAAAGAAAAGAAAGAATCAGCCCGTTTTATCGATGGTGATGCTGATGTCGAACATGAATCGGAGTCTGAATCAGAATCAGAATCAGATACAGAGAATGATGTTCCAAGTGGTGGTCATGTTAATGAAGAAGAAGTAAAATCAACCGTTGAACCAAAAGAAAGTGAAGTGATTAAAGACGAAGTGAAATCCGACGAACCCAAGTTATCACATGAAGAGATTAAAAAACAGAAATTAGATGCAATTTTTAAGAAGCGAACTGTTGGTCAAGTGTTCGAAGATGCTGTCCAGAGATATTCAGCTAGAGTTGCTGATCGTTTATTGTCCACATAATAGAAAAATCAACAGCCTGTAATCGAATCGCATCTCAGTTAAAGTTCACTTATTATCTTAATTTAATCGGAGCAAAAAATTAAGAATCGTGCAGAAAAACAATTTGCCTCAAGTAACAATTACATCTCATAAACTTGTGACTTGTTGAGGATAATCAACATTGATTATCTTCAACTTGGAGATCAATTTAATCAACAGTCTGAGTAACAGAGTGTCTTGGTTTTCACTTATCTCAATTGTTACTAACAATCAACATCAACATTGGATTTTAATTTTGTTTGATTCCAACTACATAGTTAATTGAAAGATCAAGTTAATCCTCCAATAATTACTGTCTATTCTTGGCTTTTTGTTTAACAATTTAATTGTGATTAAGTTATTATGGCCCCTGTACTAAGTCGTGATCCACCCGATATTGAGGTATTTTTATTTTAATAACAATTAAAATCTAAACAATTGATTCAATACAATTTCGATCCTCTTCCATTGAAAGTTATTATTGTTAATTGATTTAACCCATTGATCTTTATCTAGATTTGACTTTTAAATTTAACATTAACCTCAAATTAAAGATCAATTAATCAATTCTTACAATGATTAAAATCAATTGAATTGATGTTAATTGTTTTTATCTTAACCACTTGACACAAAGAAAAGTATTAATCAAATGATGATTGTCAATCAATAGACATTGAAGATCAAGTCAATCATATGAAATAAACAAATTATATTGTATTACTGTTAATCGAGTAGCAAATTAATTCTGATGACAATTAATTGCAGAGTTTACTACAATTAAATCCCCGATCGCGACAACATGCCAACGTTATTCCAAGTATTGAAACGAAAGCAAATAAAAAACACTGGAAACGAAACGAAGATAAAAGTTGTTCGGTAAGTAAATCAGTTAATTGTTAACCTAAATTGTTCAACTTATATTCAATACTTAAATGCAGACCTGTGGAGATTTGGAAAACAATTTCGATGATATTAAACACACGACATTGAGTGAACGAGGTGCTCTTAAAGAGGCCACAAGATGCCTGAAGTGCGCTGATGCTCCGTGTCAAAAAAGTTGTCCAACCAACATAGACATTAAATCATTTATCACGATGATTAGTAACAAGGTAAACGATTTAATTGATTCAAATAAATAATTTCTAATTGTTGATCGTCTTTAAGAACTATTATGGAGCTGCTAAGGCCATTTTTTCGGATAATCCGTTAGGATTAACTTGTGGTATGATTTGTCCGACAAGTGACCTTTGTGTAGGCGGATGTAATCTGTATGCAACTGAAGAGGGTCCGATTAATATTGGAGGATTGCAGCAATTTGCAACGGAGGTAATCAGTCAATTCTAATCGTTGATTGTTATTAAATACCTTTTTTTTTCCTCGTCAAGATTTTCAAAATGATGTCGGTTCCGCAGATTCGACCTCCGTCTACAGTTAAAACTTATCCATTCAATGTTCACTCTCCTGAATCTTATTTAACTAAAATTGGATTAATTGGTTGTGGACCAGCGTCAATATCTTGTGCCACTTTTCTGGCCCGTTTAGGTTATACCGATTTAACTATTTTCGAGGCGAAACCTTATTTTGGAGGCTTATCCAGTTCCGAGATTCCTCAGTATCGTTTACCCGTGGATGCGGTTAATTTTGAGATTAACCTGTTGACACAATTAGGCGTCAAAATTAAGACCAACTCGGCGCTTGGTAAAGATTTTACTTGTTCATCATTGAGAAATGATGAAGGTTACAAAGCGATTTTCATTGGTATCGGTTTACCTCAATCTAAATCTTTGGGCATTTTCAAAGGATTAGATTCATCGTCCGGTTATTTTACATCGAAACAATTTTTACCTTCCGTGTCGGAGGCATCGAAACCTGGCCTGTGTCCATGTAAACAGCAGCAACTTGCAGCCCAACTTCCTGATTTTCGTGGACGACTGGTACTTGTCCTTGGTGCTGGTGATACTGCTTTCGATTGTGCTACATCGGCACTTCGGTGTGGTGCTCGAAGAGTGACCGTCGTTTTCCGAAGAGGATTTACCAATATTAAGGCTGTACCAGAAGAGATGGAATTAGCTCGTCAAGAGAAATGCGAATTTATCCCTTTCTGTTCACCCAAACAAGTCGTTCTTCGAGCTGATGGCAATACGATTGAAGGTATGATCTTTGCCCGAACAGAAGTTGATCCAGTTTCTCGTCGATTGATCGAAGATGAAGACCAACGGATTAAAATTAAAGCTGATATCATAATCTCTGCATTTGGTTCAACCCTGGATTCTGACGAGATTAAATCGGCCCTTGAACCTGTACAACTAAATGACCAAGGATTACCAGAGGTCGATAAAAAAACAATGGAAACAAATGTGGACTGGATATTTGCAGGCGGTGACATCGCCGGAGTGGCTGAGACAACAGTTGAAGCCGTTAACGATGGTAAAACGGCCGCTTGGTCGATTCACAAATATATTCAAGTAAGAAATTAGTCTAATAATAACAACAATCAGTTAATCATTTCGTTCTCTCTTCATTTACAGTCTCTATTCAATGATGTTGTGCCGTCGATTCCTAAATTACCCAAATTTTACACTCCAATCGATACCGTTGACATAAGCGTTGAAGTTGCTGGTCTACATTTCAAAAACCCATTCGGCCTCGCATCGGCTCCTCCAACCACTTCGGGTCCGATGATTAGAAGAGCTTTCGAAGCAGGTTGGGGATTTGCACTCACGAAAACTTTTAGTTTGGACAAAAATTTAGTGACCAATGTTTCACCTCGAATTATTCGTGGAACAACATTCGGACCCTCATTTGGTCCAAATTTGGGCTCTTTTTTGAACATTGAGTTGATTAGCGAGAAAACTTGTGCATATTGGTTACAGGTAATCAGAGAAATTAAGAATGATTTCCCTGATCACATTTTGATTGCTTCGATCATGTGTTCATTTGATGAGAATGATTGGAAAACTATAGCTAAACTCTCTCAAGATGCGGGAGCTGATGCTTTGGAATTGAATTTATCGTGTCCTCATGGAATGGGTGAAAGAGGAATGGGCTTAGCTTGTGGTCAAGATCCACAATTGGTCAAATCAATTTGTTCTTGGGTTAGAGAAACAGTTTCAATCCCTTTCTTTGCTAAGTTAACTCCAAATGTGACAGATATTTGCACCATTGCCAAAGCTGCTCATGAGGGCAAGGCCGATGGCGTGACCGCTGTTAATACAGTCTCTGGACTAATGGGGCTTAATGATAAAGGTGAACCTTGGCCTGGTGTTGGAATCCAGAAGCGGACAACTTATGGTGGTGTCAGTGGATCTGCAATTAAACCAATAGCTTTGAGGGGAGTCTCTGCTATCGCCAAAGCTTTACCAGGATATCCAATTCTTGCCACCGGTGGGATTGATTCAGCTGAAGCTGGGTTACAATTTATCATGGCCGGTGCATCGTTACTTCAAGTCTGTTCAGCTGTTCAGAATCAAGACTTTACTTTAATCGATGATTATATTGATGGACTCAGAGCTTGTCTCTACATAAAAGCTCATCCAGAACTTTACCATGATTGGAATTTTCAATCACCACCAACACCTAAGCATCAGAAAGGTAAACCAGTTGGAACCATTGGTCAAGGATTACCGAATTTCGGTGAATTTGCTGAGAAGAAAAAAAATATGATCGGAGATTCGAGACGAAAATCTTTCAATCAACAACAAATCGAAACAAACATGAATCAAAGTGATCTAAATTCGACTAAAAGTGAACAACAAATCAAATCAATTCCAAGAATAAAGGTAATCCTATTTCTTTTTTTTTCTTCAATTTTTAATTTTTGTATCTCTTTTGGAATAGGAAATCGTTGCTGAAGCTGTACCAAGAATCGGAGCCTTTGGTGAACTGGACACTAAACAACAAGTAGTTGCTTTAATTGATGAGGTAAATGTATCAACTCTCATTTTTATCCTTTATCGTTGTTAATTTTCTTAATTGTTTCCTTAAAATAGGATATGTGCATCAACTGTGGTAAATGTTACATGACTTGTAACGACTCTGGTTATCAAGCGATAAGTTTTGACCCGATAACCCACATACCCAAAGTAACAGATGATTGTACTGGTTGTACTTTATGCTATTCGGTTTGTCCAATTATCGATTGTATTTCAATGGTTCCATCGAACAAACCAAATAAACCCAAAAGAGGTATCGAACCAGAATATGAACCATCGATCGCACCTAAAAGTCCGCTTCCAATTCAATGAAACTAAACTGAGATAATATGTATTTCGAACATGAAAAAATACTTTGTAACTCAATCAATGAAATAGAGAAAACGAATAAATAATTAAGACAAAATGATCAATTTATTGGCTTTTCATTTAAATTGCTCATGAAATTCGGCCACATCCTTGAGTCGCTGTTCTTGAGCTCGAGTTATATTCTTATTTTTCTTCTCTATTTTTTCAAAATAAGAATTGTAAGCGATGAAAAAATTTTCTACAGTCCATTTTCTGAAATCAAACATGAAAACACAACAATTAGAATTTCATTCAATACTATTGATCATAAACTTACAATTCAGTTGATAAGAATCAAATTTTGAGAGAAATGCACAATTAATTAAAGGTAAACTAAAAGGTGAGAAAGAAATTTGTGTAGGCCAGCTGATTTTGTCGATAGTCGATTAATCAAAAGTACTAATAGATTGTCTTAAATTTCTGTAACTAGTTAATGGAAAAGTCGAAACAATTTTCGAGAATCACGAAACAGTCTAATATATTAACGAGTATATTAAATTGTCCTTTATTGCAAATTTCTATTTATGGATCATTGGTAAAACTACTGCTTCAATCAATTCTTGAATTTGTTTATCTAATCCTCCGATATCATTATATTGTTCAGTTGGACGTTCATCAACCTTAAAGTTCATAAAGTTATTATGTTTATTTTCTCTGGACGAATTAAATTGTCCTTTATTGCAAATTTAATTTCATTTTAAAT